TCAGAGGAAGACTAAGATGATCTTTGGGCTCAGCGTCCAGGGTTCGCCCACCATAGGTGATGTTGTTAACGCCAAACTGTTGAAAGAATATCCGGTGAACTGTTGGCTTCAGGCAAAAAATAAGAGACCTCTCTTTTGGATTCTCTATGAATTTCAAAGGTTTTTTTTTTTACAAGTAGTACCAATAAATGGGGTCGTGGTGGCACAGTGCCTAAGACACTGAGCTCATCGATCAGAAAGGTCGGCAGTTCGGCAGTTCAAATCCCTAGCACTGCGTAACAGAGTTCCCGTTACTTGTCCCAGCTCCGTGGTCATGTGGCCGGCATGACTAAATGCCTTCGAAGGCGCACGGAACGCTGTTCCCTTCCCACCAAAGGGGTTCCTATTTTCCTACTTGCCTTTTTTTTTAAAACGTGCTTTCGAACTGCTAGGTTGGCAGAAGCTGGGACAAGTCACGGGAGCTCACTCCGTGACGCGGCGCTAGGGATTCGAACCGCCGAACTGCCGACCTTTCTGATCGACAAACTCAGCGTCTTAGCCACTGAGCCACCACGTCCCTTTGGTTTGGCATACATGTTCCCACACGATATGCTAATTCAGAATGGGGGTAAAAAGCTTCCCTTCTGCCATGGTTCCAGTAGCAGTTGTGGTGGACATTCAAACAGTCATCGGGAGTCTCCTTTTTTTTGACTGGTGAGAATGTGGAATGGACACCTGGTGATCGCACTAAACATTTGTCTGGTTTCCCACGGAAAGCATCCGTTGGTAAGCTTCCCAAACTCGAACTCACCAAAGGACAGGATCCCAATTCCCACGTCTAAGAACTGAGTGGAAAATGACCAGAATTGTAGTCCAGCACTGTAGAGTTGTAATTGCAGGAATGTTCCAATCTCGGAGGGCAAACCTCAGATAAAGAATGTTTCCAAGCAAATACAACTCAGGCAAACAAAGTCACTAATCTAAAGGAGGATTAGAGAGAGGAAGTAAACCTATGTTAGACTTTAACTAGAGATAATTGTGTTAATTACTATGCTAAACAGTAACGAAAGTTAAGCAGTAACCAAAGTTAACCAATGATGGAGGACAACTAAAAATGTGTATAAATGCAAGACTAGACTCCAATAAAGATCATCATGATTCAGTTGTTCATGATCAAACAACTCGACTGCCTCGTCATTACCACACAGCACATCTGAAGGACATCAACTTTGAGAAGATGGATATTATACTAGATCAGGGGTCCTCCAACTTGACAGTTTTAAGACTTGTGGACTTCAACTCCCAGAATTCCTCCTCCAGTCATGTTAGCTCAGGAATTCTGGGACTTGAAGTCCACAAGTCTTAAACTTGCCAAGTTTGAAGACCCTTGTAATTAGATCATCAAGAGTGTCGAACCTTGGTTACTTAAAGATCCTAAAGTTGTCTGATCCTAAAGTTAACAAGATTGGACACCCATGCATTTAGATGAAATAACTAGAAGAATGGCATGTTCCCCCATATTTAATACACAGAATTTCATCCTGATTTTACAAATGGTGAAAAAAAAAAACCCCACAAGATTTGGAAGATAACTATACTTACTTAAGAGAATCCCTCAAACTGTTCCTCAGCAGCGGTGTCCATAACAAGTCACGACGATGTCAAAACGTCAACACATGTCATGATGTCTAACCTGAGATTTAATTTTTGAGACATTCTCTTCCAACCGGGCAGAAATGTCTCTGCATAAAGTGTCACTGCGGTTGGGGTTTTTCCTACATTCCAGATGTGGTTTAAATTTGTGTGAACCATTCATGACCCTCAGATGGTTCCTCAACTCCTATGCCAAGCAAGTCTGGCCAACAAAACCCACCAGAATTTGTGTTTCAGCCATGTCTGTAGGACAATAGGTCCTGGTTAGAAAACACAGGAGATTGGATCGTCTCCAGAATGACTTCCTGCTTACCTTCTCCAGTTCTGCCTTCTTCGCAGCCAGAGCTTCGGATAATTCCTCACCCACAAAGTGTGCTAAGAAAAATAAATAAAAGGGATCAAAGGGAAAAGTAGACTTTGGTTAGATTAGATTAACAGTGTTGGAAGGGACCTTGTAGGTCATCTAGTCCAACCCCCTGTCCAAGCAGGAGACCCTACACCATTTCTGACAAATGGCAGTCCAATCTCTTCTTGAAAGTCTCAAGTGATGGTGCTCCCACAACTTCCTAGGGCAACTTCTGTTCCACTGGTTGATTCTTCTCACTGTCAGAAAGTTTCTTCTTATTTCCAGGTTAAATCTCCTTGTTCAGTTTTCATCCATTATTCCTTCTCTGGCCTTCAGGTGCTTTGGAAAATCGCTTGACCCCTTTCTCCTCTCTGGTGCAGTGCCTCAAATATTGGAACCCTGCTCTCCTGTCTCCCCTGGTCCTTCTCATCACTAGACTAGCCAAGCCCAGTCCCTGCAACCGTTCTTCGTATGTTTGAGCCTCCAGCCCCCTCATCATCCTGGTTGCTCTTCTCTGCACTCTTTCTAGAGTCTCAACCTCTTTTTTATAGTGTGGTGACGAAAACTGGATGCAGTACTCTAGGTGTGGTCTTACTAAGGCTTTATACAGTGGTATTAGTACCCCACTTGATCTGGATTGTATCCCTCTTTTAATGCAATTTAGGATTGCATTGGCTTTTTTGGCTGCTGCTGCACACGGCTGGCTCCCATTTAGCTGGTTGTCCACTAAGACTCCAAGATCCCTTCACAGTTCCTGCTATTGAGCCTGGTTTCACCCAGTCTATATGTGCACTTCTGGTTTTTCTTGCCTAAATGTAGGACTTTCCTTTTCTCTACGTTGAATTTCATTTTATTAGATATGGCCCAGTGTTCTAGATCCATCTGGATCTTGAGCTTATCTTCTTGGGTGTTAGCTGTTCCTGCCAGCTTAGTATCATCTGCAAATTTGGTAAGTTCTCCTTCTATTCCCTCATCTAAGTCATTTATGAAGATAGACTTGGAGGGGGAAACAGTTCCTATCAAAAGTTTGTCATGGTTACCTTAAGGTGATGCACATCTCAAAGGCAACCGGGCTTTCTTGGATTCTTCCTTTGAAGATGTTTCCCTTCCCATCCAAGAAGCTTCTTCAGTTCTTCCCTTGATGAACTGGACAAGCTTCTTGGAGGGGAAGCGAAACGTTTTCAGGAAAAGCAACCAGAAGAAACAGTTGCCTTTTGAATATTGCCTTTGGGACAATGATGGTTGACTGAGAATCTCCACACACATTAAGATCACACACACACACACACACACACACAGGAAACCGAGTAAGTTCACCCCCTTTTTATTCTAACGGAAACCCTTCAGCGTTCCTGTCTCTTGAATCTTGAGTGTGAAAAAGCTGACGCTGAATCATAACCAGATGGAAAGAAATGGATTCAAAGGACATTTATTTTAATTTGGATTCAATTTGAAAAACCCAACAGATACTTAGACTGGAGTCTGCCTGCTATTTTTTTTTTTTTTTTTTTGGTCCTTTTCTATCCTCTCTTTACGCTTTGACCCCAAATTCAAGTTGACTCAAATCCTAGTTGACTCCTGGGCTCCAGAAAAGATATTGGTGCTCTCTGAGTTTGGTTATTTTCTTGCAGACGTTTCATTAACTCAACTAGGTAACATCATCAGTGCTAGTGGCTAGATGTTACCTAGTTTGTGAAATGAAATGTCTGCTAAAGAGAGAACTTAATAGAATAGAATAGAATAAAAATAGAAAAGAATAGAATAAGGAAGGAAGGAAGAACAGAAT